CGCATGGATCCCGATAAGGTTAAGGCTGTGGTGGATTGGCCAACCTCAGATTCCCGTAAGACCCTACAGAGGTTCCTTGGGCTCGCCAATTTCTACCGGCGTTTTATTTGCAATTTCAGCCAACTAGCCACTCCTCTGACCGCCTTGACCTCCACTAAGATGACGTTCAGGTGGCCTAGTGCAGCCGAAGCTGCATTTACCAACCTCAAGAGCCGCTTCGTTTCGGCTTCCATTCTCGGAACCCCTGACTCTACACGTCAGTTCGTGGTGGAGGTCGATGCGTCAGAGGTGGGAGTAGGTGCGGTGCTGTCCAAACGCTCTTCCTCGGACGACAAGATGCATCCTTGCGCGTTTTTCTCCCATCGCTTGTCGCCTGCCGAACGTAACTATGACATTGGTAACCGAGAGTTGTTGGCAGTCAAGTTAGCGTTGGAAGAGCGGTGTCATTGGTTAGAGGGTTCGGGGGTTCCCTTTATTGTCTGGACCGATCATAAGAACCTCAAGTACATCAGCTTCGCTAAACAACTTAACTCCATGCAGGCTCGGTGTGCACTCTTTTTTTGGTCGCTTTAATTTTACACTTTCCTATCGTCTGGGTTCTAAGAACATCAAACCCGATGCCTTGTCTCGCGTTTTTGAACTTTACGAGCGCCCGTCCACTTCCGAGTGTATTCTACCTGAGAGACTCGTTGTCTCCACTCTCGTGTGGGAGGTCGAGTCGAAGGTCCGCATGGCCTTAGAAGGGGTAACACCTCCGCCCGGTTGCCCACCGAGTCGATTATTCGTGCCGGAGAGGTTACGGTCCGATATCATTCGGTGTGGTCATTGTTCCAGCCTGGCTTGTCATCCGGGGGAGAATCGGACTAGTTTCCTCATTAAACAACGATTCTGGTGGCCTTCTATGGCTTGTGACGTCTGAGATTTTGTTTTGGCCTGCTCAGTTTGTGCCCGTGGTAAGACTTCCAATCAACCCCCTGATGGGTTACTTCAACCGCTGTCGGTCCCTTCGAGACCCTGGTCCCACATCGCGCTCAATATCAAAATCACTGCCCTTCCGCCCTCCCAGGGCAATACGGTTGTTTTGACCATAGTGGACCACTTCTCGAAGGGGGCCCATTTCATTTCTCTCGTGTGGGAGGTCGAGTCGAAGGTCCGCATGGCCTTAGAAGGGGTAACACCTCCGCCCGGTTGCCCACCGAGTCGATTATTCGTGCCGGAGAGGTTACGGTCCGATATCATTCGGTGTGGTCATTGTTCCAGCCTGGCTTGTCATCCGGGGGAGAATCAGACTAGTTTCCTCATTAAACAACGATTCTGGTGGCCTTCTATGGCTTGTGACGTCTGAGATTGTTTTGGCCTGCTCAGTTTGTGCCCGTGGTAAGACTTCCAATCAACCCCCTGATGGGTTACTTCAACCGCTGTCGGTCCCTTCGAGACCCTGGTCCCACATCGCGCTCAATATCAAAATCACTGCCCTTCCGCCCTCCCAGGGCAATACGGTTGTTTTGACCATAGTGGACCACTTCTCGAAGGGGGCCCATTTCATTCCCTTGCCCAAATTACCCTCAGCCAAGGAGACAGCGGTTACAGTCATTGATCATGTTTTTCGCATTCATGGCCTCTCGATGGACGTGGTTTCCGTCAGGGGACCCCAATTTGTTTCCAAATTTTGGAAGGAGTTTTGTAGGTTACTGGGGGCGAGTGTCAGTTTGTCATCTGGTTTCCATCCACAGAGCAACGGCCAAACGGAGCGGGCCAACCAAGATCTTGAAAGAACGTTGCGATGTTTGGTTACACAGAATCCTTCCTCCTGGAGCCAACAACTCTAATGGGTGGAGTACGCAAACAACTCGTTACCAGTGTCATCCACGGGCCTATCTCCGTTTGAATGTAGCTTAGGGTACCAGCCACCTATTTTTCCCAGTCTGGAATCCGAAGTCATGGTCCCCTCTGCTCACGCCTTCGTCCAGAGGTGTCGTCACACTTGGAAAAGAGCCCGAGAGACTCTTCTCCAAGTGAGGATGCGCACCAAGGCTCAGGCCAATCGCCACCGGTCGAAACCTCCCGCTTACGTCGTTTGTCAAAAGGTGTGGCTTTCCTCCAAGAATATTCCTCTCCGATCAGTTTGTAATAAGCTAGCTCCCAAATTTATTGGCCCGTTTCCTGTCACCAAGATTCTTAGTCCAGTGGCAGTCCGCCTCAAACTTCCTCCGGCGTACAGGAGAATTCATCCCGTGTTACATGTCTCCAAATTGAAGCCCGTTTTTCATTCACCCATTAATCTGCCTGCCCCGGGGGCATGGATTCCTGCATGATCCCTGCACAGAAAGCAGCATTCCTTCAGGAATTCCTGCAGGATATTTTTGTAAGGGCTTTAGTGTTTCGTTTCCAAATTAAGGATGATAATGGACAGTTTTCTTAATGAGTGTTTGGACAAAAATAGAGGGTGAGTCGCCAGCTGAGGAGAGTGAGTCGCCTACCGTGTGAGGAGGGTGAGTCGCCAGCTGAGGAGAATAAGTCGCCAGCTGAGGAGAGTCAGTCGCCCGCCGTGTGAGGAAAGTCATTATTTTTATGTAACTCTGACTACATGTGCTGAAAAAAGAGAAATAATTTCATAAAAACCTTTAAAATTGCCAAAGAAGTAAGGTAACACAAGTGACAAAAAAAGGGTACATGCGGTCTTTAAATAAATATACAAAAATATATAAAATCATTAAGCTGTCATTTATGTGTATTCATAAAGTCAAAAGGTAATCTAATAATGTGGTCTAAGTTTAAATGTTAAAAAAAGAATTACAGTTTAAAACTGCCATACCAAAAGTGGACGTTTCTGTAGAATGACCCAAAAGAATAGCTGATGCAACAAGCTTAATAACTGAATATTAGTCTACCATTAATGATGCAATTAGGCATAATAAATATGACACTAACACAAACAGGACGTCCCAATTGGTCATGGGTGCATTAGGCTACTTGGAGGAGCTATATGAAATATGTGAATTACACATTGCATCATACACAATTAATTTGAGCAGTCATAATTGCATAACGACAAGTGTGATTTAAGTCATAAACAATATATATATATAAATATTATGATTCACAACTGAATATTATCAACCTTACTGTGAGAAATCAAACGAAAGTGTTCCCACATTTCAGAACGCCCTCTCTTTGCAACTGGTTTCATGACCAAGTCTAATAACTCACAACAATGACCGCTCCTAAACTCTCGCAATACACATTACTAACCCACGAGTGAGCGCCCTGCCCCTGTGGGTGTCGCGCATTCTTAAATAGTTGAACCAATCAAGTACGAAGCAATCACGTGGGTGTGTGTGAAACGACGCTTCGGACGCCATCGGTCACGTGATTTTGATAGAACGATTCAAGCATCGATACAAAGCTTCACCTGAAAATCGTTTCAGTTTTTTTGACACGCCTCGAAGCTTTGGTGTCACAGCTAACATCACTACAAATGAGTGAAACATCTTGATACAGTTTGGGAAACAGATCGTGGAGATGTCTGAGAACGTTAGTATCTCTCAAGTAAGTGCAACAGCCAACAACTACATGATTTAACGCAACTGGTATAAAGTGATATTTTATTGGCTCGGTGAACTACCGTTTTAAACGTTGTGTCTTTCTATTTGGTGGATGGGAAGAGAAACACGTGATCTAGAAACGTGTGGATCCAAAAAGCGAGGGTGGAATTTTGAATTTAGGACCATATATGTAAATTGGTGAATATATGTGATATTTATATAAAAAAAATACAAACAAAATTATTACGCTGTGTTGTTTCCGCAATACCTGTTTTAATGCTTGCGACACAGTTTCATTTGAATGAATTTTCATTGCGACAGTCATTTTAACATGATTTCACGTGTGACATGGTTGACAACCCACGCCCACGTTATTTTGGCACGTCCACTTCTATGGAAAATGACTCGCTCAAAAAAAATGTATATTTCAAGTGTAATTCACTTCTAAAGCCTCCTGACTACCAGGAAAACCAGTTTTGTGAAGTTAGTATTTTGTCATGTGATTACAATGTTTAGAGCATAAGAACAATTTTGAAAAATTATAAAAAAAAAAAATTATATTTTATTCATATGTTATGCCATGTTTTCTGTAGAGGACATCGGGACTTTAAAATTTCCTTTTTTTTTTCTTCTTTTTTTTTTTTTATATAAAAAGAGATGAATAGACATGAAAAGGCAAAAACTGTGGGATTTTTAATCACAAATCAATTTTCATTTTTTTATACCAAACTTTATATAAAGATGATTCTCAACTATGTTATGAATGTTATTTTTATAAACCATTTTTCTTTATGCAATCTGGGTGTAAAATGGCCATAAGAGCGTTTTCCCATTATATACAATGTATCTATAAACTGTATCTAATTTGCATATTAATGTGTTTTTTGGGGGCAACATAGAATGAACAAATAATTTTTCCCCATCATATAGCTGATCCAAAACGCGTTTATTTTCAATAAAATGAATAAAACATTCACGTTAAAGGTGGAAATAAAGCACCAAAATAGCTATTTGATAAGTATTTGGGTTGGGGTAGGTGTAGAGAGGACTAATTGTCCCATAAAGCAGCATCTATTTGATAACTTTAATAAATATTTTCATTTTAACTATTGCATACTTTTTTATAATGTAGCCTATAGAGTATCTGCCATTATTTCCACTAAGTATATATAGCATCTATCTACACTTAATGCAAACATACTGCTATTTTTAAATAGTGTAAATAAAATCTATCGCTATTTGCACTTAGTGTAAATAACAGACTGCTAAATAACACTATTTTCACTCAGTGTGTATAGAAGTGAATTATACTTGAAATATATGCGTTTATTTGAGCGATTGTCATTTTCCATAGAAGTGGATGTGCCAAGATAACGTGGGCGTGGTTTGTGAACCATGTCACCACGTGAAATCATGTTAAAATTACACTTAAACTGTGTCGCAAGCATTAAAACGGGTATTGAGGAAACAACACAGCGTAATAATTGCATCATTAAGAATGTACCAATGTCTTTTCATAACAGCTTTGCAGTCGCTTTTGACGAATCTGCTGGAATGGGACGTAAAATAGCTCACATGCATGCGCACATCCCCAGTTAACCAAAGACTATAAAATACCTTAAAGGGACTTTGAGTTAACACGATCCCCAGTTGATCCATAACACCGGAAAACAGGTCTCATCGCTTCCGCTTGTCGGAGAACGTGTTAACACAGCCATAATAAATAATAGCGATATCTATGGACTTTTAAGATAATCAGTTAAACTAGCTAGCTGTTTTTATTGTTGAGGTTTTATTTATTTTTTTATATCTAAATGTTAGTGAAAAAGAATAAAAATAAAACGTTTAGATATCAATCCGCATATGTGATGGACATTGGTTATGATAATCTTTGGTATCTACTTTGAAGGCATCTTGAGTAAAAGGGCTTCATATTTAACGAAGCATATGCAAAACACTTGAACCGGAAGCGACAAGACCCGGAAGTCTGTTGCTCATAACCCCTATAGACAAGCCTTTAATAAGGTGCTTGAGATTTCACATAGTGTAATAAAAATTACATTTTTATTAGTTGTATGACTTAAGTAGCCCCTTCTGTCATAGAGTTTTCTGAGCCTAAACGTCCGATAAACAATAGCACTGTTGTGAAACTGGTCAAACAGGGTTAATTGGTCAACATATATCTGACTCGCAACTACATGAATTGCATGGAGCCTTTAGTTTATCAGCACTGCCCAGAAACACAGGGTGTGGGGAATGCAAGGACATTGTATAGAATAAGAAAACCCCTCCACCAGTTGCTCATTCATTCAGTCATTCATTAGGCCTTGGACCCAGCACATCTTCTTCTGCAGCCTGAACTGTAAAAGTGTCTGCAAAGAACATGGAAGGGCCATTCAAGTATATTAGAGTGAGAGTTAGATGAAACCTATTTTGATATTTAGAAGAGTTAAGGTGAGCATTAATATGAAATTTAGTGATATTCTCTTTCTTGCAGGAAGGAAATGGCAAAGTCAGTCGGGTTATTCGCATGGGAACAAGGAAGAGCCAGGTAATGTTTCTTGAGTCATTCAGCTATGCTGTTTTGTAATTTCATCAATTCTTTCATCTTCTTTTGAGAGTATTTTCTACACTTAACTTTAACACTGTATTTAATATTTAACATATTGTTCAATTAGACTATAATGAACTATAACCATTTTTTCCACAAACTACATACAAACTGTATGAATTTTTTTTAGATGTAAAATGTATATCTACATTTTAGTGTATAGTACATTACCTAATAATCTGATAAGCATTATATAAAGTAATGTTGGTTTAATAAAATATATATTTTAATGACAGATTTTATAAAGTGCTCCTGTGAAAATGTAGCTTTTTTTCCATTGTGGGTCACTTGGTTGGCCGAGGGTCCCACAGTTGTACAGGTTGACAACTCTTGACATGGACCATTATTTTGGGTTTTACTCAATGCAAGCTCAAATGAAATGATAAATGGAGTCAGTCAAGTCCAAAATAGAGAAAACTTGCAGTTTAAATTGAATTGAGAGTATACATATTTCGATTTTCTGCTCTAGGGAACCGTTAAAAAGTGAGGGTAGATAACAAAATGGAAATGGGTGTGAAACTAGTGTGCTTTAATCAGATAGAAACGGCCCCTCAGCGTCGCCCTTTATGCTTGCTTGGAGTGACTGCTAACATTTAATCATGAAATTTATGTTATAGAGAATCTTTGAAAGGACTTTGACTTTAAATATTGAGAGAGCCACTCTCAGAGTAAATTTATTCATGCATTTGCATCATATATTGCACTGGGACTTTGACAGTGATGAAATTACATTTATGTATCTTCAATAATGAGGTTGTGTGTGTCCCTCAGCTGGCTCGCATTCAAACAGACAGTGTGGCCGGCAGACTGAAAGCGCTTTATCCAGATGTTAATCTAGAGATAGGTAAGTGAGGAAATTTTGCATGCTAGAATTTTTATGAATTCCATCTACTTTAATTGTATTGCATTTGTTATGTCTTTCCATTAAATGTGCAGATTTTCATCTGTAAATGTCTGTACATACACAAACACTACTTTTCGTTTTCTTGTCCTCATGCACTCACTGCTTGTCTAAGAACAGAGAGTGATTGTGTTCTGCTGAGAATGTGTAATCTATACGAGCGCTTCACTGCTGAATCCTACTGTCTGTGTCATGAATGTCAAGAGATGAATGATGATGTCAGAATCGGAGCCAGTGCACAACTCTTCAGCTCTTAACCTTTTTGTCTGCGTGCATTTCAGTTGCTATGTCGACAATTGGGGACGAAATCCTGGACACTGCATTATCAAAGGTAGAATTCCATCCTTAATTTCATGTGGCATTATGCCAGGTTTTGTGGTGTCGGTATGAAGAAATGCCTTTGAACATTTGTGTGCCCAACATGTACAAATCCATTATTACCTTTATTTACCATGTTTTAAACTTGTGTTTTCTTAGATTGGTGAAAAGAGCCTCTTTACCAAAGAGCTGGAGAATGCCCTTGAGAGGAATGAGTAAGTTTGCTGATTTAAAACTGAGCTTTGGTTAGGACACTGATGCTAAGTATGTTCACATGTCAGCTTATATGAAGGTTTCACCTCTCTAAAACCCTCATCAGAAAAAAAAAATAGACTGTTGTTCAATTGATTATGCTGTAAAGTGCTTTAGATTAACTTCACCTATAATTATTATGCGTTCAGTATTATTGATATGACATATCGAGTACCTCAGTCTTATTTTCTATTTGACATTTTGCTTCAGGAAAACGGTTTTGCTCATAATTTCTCTGTTCAGCTGTTCACTCTCTGTTCTACTTGTTCCCAACACTCTAGAATCAGAGAATGTGAAAGCAGTCCTCTTAGACTTGATACTATGTGTGTTGATGTGTTTTATGAAATTAAGTATATGATGAGCATTGTATGGTGATGGTGACACATAGCACAGTACAATAGAAGTTAGAGCAATGTTTTTCCTCTAGTGTGTGGGTTGGTGATTTTTTTATGTGTTTATTCATCACTAGAGTGGATATTGTGGTGCACTCTCTTAAGGATTTACCTACCTCATTGCCCCCTGGATTCACTATTGGAGCCATTCTTCAGTAAGGACCACAACATCGTCATCTAACAAATATATATATACATATACATATATATATATATATACATACACAGGGCTGGACTGGGACAAAAACATTTTTGGGGCATTTTTTGGTCCAGGCGGCCCATCACCACTTCGAGATATATATATATATTACAGTGGGTACGGAAAGTATTCAGACCCCCTTACATTTTTCACTCTTTGTTATATTGCAGCCATATGCTAAAATCATTTAAGTTAACTTTTTTTCCTCATTAATGTACACACAGCACCCCATATTGACAGAAAAACACAGAATTGTTGACATTTTTGCAGATTTATTAAAAAAGAAAAACCGAAATATCACATGGTCCTAAGTATATCATTTCCCAAAAAATAAATAAAATAAAAACACTGACTCCAAGCTTTTTAATGGTATATGTATAATGTTACAAAAGCTTTTTATTTCATATGAATGCTGATCTTTGGATCTTTCTATTGGATCTTTCTTACTGTTCAAAAAATGTTGACTGGTAGTGTATGTATGTAGCCTATGTATCACACTCATATCACATCTTGTTTTGGATAAGAATAAAACGTCAGGTCCGAAAATATCGTGTCTTTTTTTTTATTTAAATCTAGCTTTATTCGCATTGGCCCATGGAAACCTCTATGAACACACTTGACTTGGCTAAAAAATCGTGTGGGATGAATTTACGTTTTATTAAAAAGTGTTTACGCATTCCACGCTCATGGCGCGCAGCAGCGCACACACATTAGGATAGGTTATATTCCTGCCTCCGTTGCGAGTCCCTATCAAGCTCTTTAACAATTCAACTACTTTCCTCCTCCTGCCTGGCTCTTTGACCCGCATTACTCACCGCAGAGCAAGCCTGTATGGCAAGCCGTTTTAGCTTAAAATATCCCCAGCGTTACTCGTCGTAATTGCATTTTTACTAGTAACAATTCAATTAAAGAGCTCTACAATTAAATTCTTACTAGTAACAATGCCAGTTAGAGAGCTGTCTGAATCATTTCTTACAGGTAAAAATTATAATTGGAGAGCTCTATAATTCAATTCGTACTAGTAAGGATTACAATTAGAGAGCTCTCTAATTCAGTTCTTACTAGTAACAATGCCAGTTAGAGAGCTCTATAATTCAATTCGTACTAGTAAGGATTACAATTAGAGAGCTCTCTAATTCAGTTCTTACTAGTAACAATGCCAGTTAGAGAGCTCTATAATTCAATTCGTACTAGTAAGGATTACAATTAGAGAGCTCTCTAATTCAGTTCTTACTAGTAACAATTCCAATTAGAGAGCTCTTTAATTCAATTAGAGAACTTTCTAATTCAGGTTTTACTAGTAAGAATTCCAATTAGAGAGCTCTTTAATTCAATTACAGAGCTCTGCAATTAAACATATATTTAATGTGTTTTTTTATTAGTAAAAATTTTATTATAGAGCTTTTTAATCGGAATTGTTACTAGTAAAAATGTATTTAGAGAGCTCTCTAATTGGAATTCTTACTAGTAAAACCTGAATTAGAAAGTTCTCTAATTGAATTAAAGAGCTCTCTAATTCAGTTGTTACTAGTAACAATTAAATTAGAGAGCTCTCTAATTCAGTTGTTACTAGTAACAATTAAATTAGAGAGCTCTCTAATTCAGTTGTTACTAGTAACAATTAAATTAGAGAGCTCTCTAATTTAATTGTTACTAGTAACAACTGAATTAGAGAGCTCTTTAATTCAATTACAGAGCTCTGCAATTAAACATATATTTAATGTGTTTTTTTATTAGTAAAAATTTTATTATAGAGCTCTCTAATCGGAATTGTTACTAGTAAAATGTATTTAGAGAGCTCTCTAATTGGAATTGTTACTAGTAAAAATGTATTTAGAGAGCTCTCTAATTGCGATTTTTACTAGTAACAATTCCATTTAAGGAGCTCTCTAAATAAATTTTTACTAGTAATAATTCCAATTAGAGAGCTCTCTAATTTAATTATTACTAGTAAAAATACAATTACAGAGCTCTTTAGTTCAATTTTTACTAGTAAAAAACCACATTAAAGATATGTTTAATTGCAGAGCTCTGTAACTGAATTAAAGAGCTCTCGATATGGGCCGATACCGATATGGTGGCCGATATATCGTGCATCCCTAGAATTGTTACTAGTAAAAATTTAATTGTAGAGCTCTCTAATTGGAATTCTTACTAGTTAAAATTATGAGGTAGAGCTCTGTAATTATAAATGAATGGAAGTCAATGGAGACATATGACTAGTAAATTTATTTAATGGAATTGTTACTAGTAAGAATTGAATTAGAGAGCTCTGTAATTGGAATTCTTACTAGTTAAAATTATGAGGTAGAGCTCTGTAATTATAAATGAATGGAAGTCAATGGAGACATATGACTAGTAAATTTATTTAATGGAATTGTTACTAGTAAGAATTGAATTAGAGAGCTCTGTAATTGGAATTCTTACTAGTTAAAATTATGAGGTAGAGCTCTGTAATTATAAATGAATGGAAGTCAATGGAGACATATGACTAGTAAATTTATTTAATGGAATTGTTACTAGTAAGAATTGAATTAGAGAGCTCTGTAATTGGCATTGTTACTAGTAAAAATGCAATTACGACGAGTAACGCTGGGGATATTTTAAGCTAAAACGGCTTGCCATAAGCCTGTTCTTGATAAATCTGCTGTGAAAAAGTGGGAAAAGGCGATGAGGAAGAAGTTGGGGTGATGCGATCTTTATATAGGCGGAGCAAAATACTTCATCACTCTGTCTATAGCGCATTGTGATTGGATGTTTACGCGGTCAATACAGGAGACAAACCAATGGGCCACTGTCTGCTCACTGTCCCTGCGACATTCTGTCGGCTCCTTAAGTGCGTCGGCCCACCGGGAAAATACCCAGTATGCCCGATTACCAATCCAGCCCTGTATGTGTGTGTGTGTGTGTGTGTCTGTATGTGTGTGTGTGTGTGTGTGTATATATATATATAT